TATCATAGTAGTAGTATAAGTTTAGTTCTATATAAATTATATCCCAACTATAGCACTAATACTATCCGGCCTATTCTCTGCTTATAATCTCTTATATATCTATTTCATTATAATTTTAAATAGTTTTAAAAGCATTTCGAATTTTATAATTAGATTATAGAAATTTAAATAATATATTTATTCTATTTCTAATTGAGATTTTCTTCGATTCTAAAGAAAATAAATAAATAGAGAATAAATCGAGTAATCTTAATATTATAATTAAAGTATAGTTTATATAGAACTAAATTTATGTTTTTTATTGTAGTAATATAAATAGAATTCTTTATAAATTTCTATAATATTAATTATAATAGAAATAATAGATAATAAAAATATAAAGAATACGAAGTATTCTTTTATATTCAAATAGTTTTCGAAAAAGAAACTAATATATATAATAATATATATTTATTATTAAAATAATAATTTCTAAAATCCTTCCTTCTTCTCTTATTTACTCTCTAGAAAAATAAAATATTCTATTCAAATCCTGCTATGGGTTCACTACTCGTTGTTGGGGATCAATATAGAAGGTGCGACTCTAGTGGATTCTATATAGTCTCACCTCACATCATAATAATAAGATCACCCTTTTTCATACCTATAAACAGAATCCCTTCATCGTTCCTAGCTAGTGTTGTTTGTGGTGGCCTTAGGCCACCACAACTGATCATATAGTCGTTGCTCTCTAGCAACCACCTTTACACTCCTCGTAGAATATCATAATATCCTATCTAGTCCTACCAGTTCACCTCGCACCGTGATAATTCCTATCTAATAATCCCAAAAACCTCTCAAAAAATGCCAAAAGCAAAACAGCAAAAAGGAAGGGCCTAATCCGGGATCGAACCGGAGACCTCTTACAATTTAGATTTCGCAACCCAAAGCAAGAATTCTACCACTGAACTATCAGGCCGTGAGCACTTCAGACCAATTTGGCTGATTTTGATGGAAGCTAGTAGGGGATTAGGGTATATAACTGTAATTTATGTGGCGTGGCTTTGTGTAAGTGGGTTGTTCGCTCGGTTATTCAGTTAGTGCGGGAACCGAACCGAAGAATCGACCAAAGCTAAATTGGCCTGAAAGTGATCACGGCCTGATAGTTCAGTGGTAGAATTCTTGCTTTGGGTTGCGAAATCTAAAGCGTGTAATGCCTAAAGGCATTACAGAGTACTACATATACAATGGGAGTTGGTGGGAAATGATATGGTTATCGGTAAGTCGGTTGAAGTGGAATTTGTTGGGTGCTGCTGTTTACAGTACTACAGTACACTGCTTGTGGGAGATAATCGTTTTCCTTGGGACTGGAAACCAGGCGCTGGAAATCCATGGAAAGCCGACTATTAGTAGCATTTGTCAGATCAGATGTGCAATACATTTCTCTCCTTACTTTCTTTCTTTCTTTCTTTCTTTCTTTCTTTCAAGACCTTCCCTATATGTGAAATAACCCCCCCTCTCCCCCATCCCCCCCTCCATTTCGCTTCATCACTTCATAATAGCGGGAAGGAAGGAAGGAAGGAAGGAAGGAAGGAAGGAATTAAGGAATTGGCAATAATCAAATAGTAATATAATGAGCATACGAGTAGAAGAGATGCCACAATAGTCCAAATTGCAGTCCAATAATAAGAGATTCTCAAATGTTTATTTTGATACAAAACATTGAATACATTTGAAATAATGAAATGACTGAAATGATTCAATTGTTTTCAAAGATTTAAAATCTTTCGAACTTGAATTATTATATATACGAGTTTATGATATTATATACTTGTAATTATATCTTATATATAAAAGATAAAGACTGATACCGACAATGAAGTCTATCTAAGTACTTTGCGATAAGATACCAGTGAAACAGAGAAGCTTTCTAGAAAACCATAGTTTAATTGCAACTCTTTAACTTGAAGGAATACCCAGATAGATAACTATCAGATCTTTTTCACTTATAGATACATTTGCCTGTTTTTGATGGATGAAGATTGGCTAATAACCTCATTCAATCAATACCTACATCTCCATCTCCATCTTTCTCAATCTTTCATCCAAAAGTTTCAATTTCTTTGTAGATGAAATATAAGTACTCTGTTTAATATTGTCTACTACTCAGTACTGAGTACAAGTATCTATACATTTCTTGTTATCGCTTTCATAACTGATATTACCTATGTGTGTGGTTCGTTTGATTTTGATTTTGATTTTGATTTATAGTTTGTATAGAAACATTATTGCAATTACATTTGTTGCTTTTTATGAGATATTATATTGTACCTACCTATACAGTGGATCGGTGGGTGTATAGATGAGTATTACTATTATTGTATATTACTATTGTGTGTTATATGTTACACGTCATTAATGAGATCAGAATTGGCTTTTTGGCAGTTCAGAGAAGACATTTGTACAGGGAGGGATGGAGGAATGGGAGCGGGATGGGAGCGGGAGTGAAAGGTTAAGTGGAGGTGGGTGAGTGAGTGAGTGAGTGGGTGGGGGGTTGTATAGATGAGATATCGCATTGGATTTGGGGAGTTTAGTAGAAACGGATGAGATTTTGGTTGGTAGATAGATAGATAAGTAAATATCATACAAGTAGATGTGAAATATTGTGAATCCTTCTTGTCCAATATCAGCCTTTATAATTGTAATGAATTTTACTCTAAATCCTCTCTCAGTTTTATCTATCTATCTATATAAATTTCAATCTCTGATTCTCGTTCCGAATAACCTTAATTATAGATCTAGAAATCTACAAAAGCACTGTTAAATCAAAATAAAAAATTAAATAGTTTCACAATATGGGTAGGCAGGCAGCAGTGGGCAGATGAGATTTTTGATATTGGAGTTGATTGAATTTTAGAATTGTTGATTATGCTATGCTATGCTATGTATCTGGGTATCTTGCTGCTGAACTGAAACGCATTATAGCAAAAAGTGAAAGACACTCCTTCTCCTTGAGCCACCAATAACAGTATTTAAACGTGTGGTGTTCATCCAGTTGATTGATCGAGTGAAGAATTGATTCCTCCCTCTTCATCCTCATCCTCATCATATTCACATATCCATCCGCACAACCCAACCCAGCTCATAGTTTTCACCCACTCACTCACTCACTTTCTTTTTTGCAGAATTTGCAACCTATCTTCTCAAATTAGCTTCAAATTCCCCAAACATGTAATGTGATACAGTATATATCCATAACAGAAAACGAAGAAGAAAAAGAGTCAGGAAACAAAGGAATCAGAAACACACAATGAAGTGCTCGGTGGTATCGCCATAACGAGGTTCTTGAGGCCTCTCAGTAACACGGACCAATTTTATTCATCATATTGAATTGTATTATTGTAGGAAGGAAGGAAATGAAGTAGAGATGAGGGGAGTTGGTACTTACAGTTTAGTTACATCATTAGGTGGATGCGACTGGTGTGAATTGTGTATGAATTAATACTCAATTGATACTTGATACACATGGAGGTATAACTTAAGACGATATGATATGTATCAGTCCATGTTTTCACCTAATCCAATAGCTATAAAAGCATCATTGTGATCATGAAGAAGTTGATGTGATGTGTGTGATGTTAAGGAAGCAAGTATGGCAAGAGAAAGAATTTATTTAAAGAGATTTTATGTGTGGGTCCGATCCGATCTCGCTTCCCATTTGTCAGGGCAACAAAGATACCCCACTTAAACTTTTGAGGAGCGGATTCCTTTGGACCGACATTTTGATACTTAATACTAGGGACGGTTGACCAGTTATTGCTGGAGGTGTTGTTGGGTGTCAAAGCATTGTTGAAAAGGAATAGGAGAAATGGCGACTCGGTGGTTGCGTAGAATTTTATTGGTAGATTTACAGTGAAAAATTCGTAACTCTAACTCCATGTCAGCATTTTCAAGCAAGCCGATAAAATGTCAGAGTGAGATCAACTTACAATAATACCAGTAATCCTCCTTTTAACTCAAGTCACCCTCGCATATGTATGCTTGAAGCCCTTATATCCAACATCAATATCACTTAACAGGAGGTTGCAAATTCTCCCATTTAGTCTTCCGGTAAAACTCCACAACATCTTCATCCATAGCAATCTCTTCTCTCGAATAACCCGTAACCGTAAGCCCCTCCAGCGTCTTCGCCCGAGAAAGGGCAACATATAATTGACCCGATTCAAAGATATCCTTTCTCGATACCTCCACATGCTCCATCGTCATACCCTGACTTTTATGTATCGATAAAGCCCAGGCTAGCATGAGTGGTATTTGAGTTCTGCAGACCAAATATCTATCCTCGACGGTTCCCATCAAAGTCTCTGAAGGAACTGGTGCAATCGCAGACGTTTTCCCATCCGCAAACTTAACAATTGGTCGCCATGGATTCTTGTCCTTGTAAATCTTCATTTGCGTTTTTCGCCATTCTTCATGGTCTCCCTGAAATGTTGCTGGCGGCCATTTTTTCGCATTTACAAACCCAACTATTGTACCCTGCGAACCATTCACCAAGCCTAAATCTGGTGCTTGGTTGTGAAGTAGAACCACTTTCGCACCAATTTTCAGCGTCAACTTCTCTGGGAAACGATGCCATTCTGATAGGGCGACTCTATATTCCTGTCTCTTCATCTCAATCTCAGACTGAGGTTGAACATCATCCAATTTGTAAAGTTTACACGAGTCATCATAGGCCTCCCAGACTTTGGCCTCTGATTGTATCAAGTCCAGTTGAGAATCGTTGAATCTTTTAACATCAATTCGTCTTGCCATAAGACGAACGGGAAACGATGAAGGGGGAAGCTCCTTGGGACGAATCAAATCATGCCACTCTGAATCGCTAAGTTTGATGCCATTGCGAACTTTATTCAAGAGGGCTTTGAAAGTCTCATCCTTTTGCCGATGAATTTGTTCCAGTTTGACAAACCTAAATTTAAGCTGTTTCCACACTGGAGCATTAAATGCCCATTTATCCCCTGGCGCAAAGGATATATTGTCTGGACGATCCTTACAGCGTGTACTTTGACAAACTCGATTAAAAAGTCCAACCATTTCAACTCCACACATCATACAATGTTCGAATGGTTTTACTGGGGGAAGCTGATAGAAATCGCCGAGGAATATCACTTGAATACCCCCGAATGGCTCACGGTTATTCTTTACCCTTTGTAGAAGCAAGTTGAGGCGCTCCAGAAATTGACTCTCAATCATTGATATCTCTTCCAAAATTAGAACTTCAAGTTTCCAAAGAGCTCGGGCCGTCCTTCTTTTTGTTGATTGCAAAAGCAGATCAAGACGCTGCTTGAAAGAATCAGGTTTCCAGCCAGCAACGGAGTATGTAGTTCTCCCATTCAAGGGCAGTGCAGCTAATCCAGTTGGCGCTGCGACTTGAACTTTTGGAATCTGATTGTAGTCCCCTAGCTTCTCCTTCAACTTTCCGATGATTTGTAGTAATGTGACTGTTTTGCCGGACCCTGCGGCACCTGTAAGAAATATGTTATCTCCACTCATTGCCATCTCAACCACTGTCACTTGCTCTGCCGTAAGCTCGACGGGCTTGGGGGTGACTTTGCACATCGTACGATTATCGAAAAAATCATCGTTAGAAGATTCGAGTTCGGAGTCTGGAATCTCGAGATCAAGATCTAGTGCTTGTTTATTATCTTCATGTTTCACCCTCTTTAGTGCTGGAGAGTCTTCGTTTTCGGAAACGGAAAGGTTCCCAGATGAAATTGCAGATTTTGGACTTCCAGTGAGATCAATAACATTAACGTCTGGCGATGTAGCACTGTCTTCTGCCTTGATTGACCGGGGAGTTTTTGTGTCGACATGGGCTATGACGTCCGGGGAAGAATTTCTCTCTTCATATTTCCTTTTCGACGCTACACGAGCTTGAAGATTGTTGTTAACCGCAAGTTGGTTTGTAATCATAGATATACCTGTACGATTATTCTCTAGAGTGTTTTGTGGTGCTCCTTCATTTGGCGCAAGACCTTGAAATCTTAGCCATTCATGCCATGCTCCTTGGGCTTCACCGTGAGTCTCATAGCCTCTGAATTTGGCACTGGAAAAGCCAGAAATGGATGCTTCGCATTGCGCCCATCCATCGAGGATTCCAGTTGTTCTACCTCGACATACTACAAAGTAGTTCTTTCTTGGCCCCTTTTTACCCATATCGCGCAATATTTTCAAGGCAATATTCGTCGTATATGATTGTAGGTAGTGGCGGAACATTTGTTACCAATAACACGTAATGATCTAACCTTGGATATGTAGCAGACAAATTGTCGCATAGATAGGTAAGGAAAAGATTACCCGTCGCGATTGTAGGATAATTAGGTCCAATGGTATCATATCAGGTATGGCAGACTTAAGGAAAGGTCTCTACAGATGAAATGGTGTCGGGGTCTATCTTTTCAATATTCATACGTGGGTGGGGTAAAGATCGAATTGGAAGGTCGCTGCTGCTGTCGCAGTCGCAGTCGCAGTCGCAGGTTCGAGTTGAGTTGAAGACAAAAGCCTCGAAGGAAGATGTCTTAGGAGGAAGGTCTAGAATGCCACGGATTAGATCAGCAGAGTAGGAGAATAAGTAAGGCGTACATGTTTTAAAAGAGAGTGAAGTGATAAATCGGTAAGTCTGAAATTGGTTCTCGGCCTTTGATTGCAAATAATTCAGTTGGTGTTATGGATGTAAGAGTACATGTAAATGAATTGTGGTTAAAATGTTGAAAATCAAATATCAATTCCAAATTGTTGGTAGCCTTGTTCGCCTTGTACGCCTTGGAAGTCCGTGCTCCGAGAAACCCCTCTCACCACTCAGGTCTCACTCACCCCTCACCCCCCTCACCCCCTCACCCTGTCTATCTTACCACCAAAACTTCCCGTCTACGCCTTTTCTCTACGCCTTTTCCGAATCCTTTTGCATTCCTAATAATGTATTGATATCAGCTCATAACTAAAAGGAGTAAGTGGATTGTCTATTTTGGAGCTCCGGCACTCAAGTTACTTTATTGAGGATCACACAAATAATGAAAAGCGGGTTTTCTATTATCTTAAACCTTCCTAGACCTTCTTATAGGTTCCTACTGAGTACCTATTCCAAATACTTTCAACTCATGGGCGTGTTACATCCGTACTGCACCAGTGACGTTATGATGGGGTTCATAGTGAATAGTTAATAAGTATGGGACTTCACCCCTCTTCTCATTCTCTTTATTCCTCTCATTCCTCTCATTCTACATCAACACAACAGCTTCATATCATATTATATTATATCATATCATATCAAATACATCTATTCTCTTAATTATTACCATCACATCTATATAATTGCAATCATGGTTAAGGTCGGAGACTCAATCCCAACTATCGAACTCACTGAGGGCAACCCAGGCCAAAAGGTTAACATCGCTGCCGAAATTGGTTCGGGTTCCGGTATCATCATCGGTGTTCCAGCAGCTTTCAGTCCAACATGCTCTGATTCCCACGTTCCCGGTTACATTCTCCACCCAAAGCTTGAGTCTGCAGGAAAGGTGTTTGTAGTATCCGTCAATGATGCTTTCGTGTAAGATTCTTCTACTCCGACCCATACCCTTTCATTCAAGCCGGAGTTAGCTAACCATCTTGTCAACAGCATGAACGCATGGGGTAAATCTCTCGACGCAGATAAGAAGAGTGGTATTCGTTTCCTCGGTGACCAAGATGGTAGCTTCACTCGTGCTTGGGACCTCGAATTCCCAGCTGCACCATTCTTGGGCACAAACAGAAGCAAGAGATATGCAATTGTCATTGAGGGTGGTAAGGTTAAGAGTGTAAACGTTGAGCCAGATAACGTTGGTCACACTGGTATGTTTGAAAGACTCCTATATATGCTCAAGTAAATGTACTAACAAGTGCGTTCAGTTTCCGGTGCCGATCAAGTTCTTGGAGAGTAAGGATAGGAATAATGATGGGAATGGTTATGAATAACAGCTTATTTGTCGTATAGAGACATCTTGAAGCATCGTGAAGGGAAACTTTAAATTTCGGGATACATTAGTTACAATCCAACTTTTTTTCAAACGCAATAACTTCGTGCGTGAATTCTAGATGTTGACGTTCTCAAATAGTAAGAGCTGAGTAACCCACCCATCTGTTGATCTGTTGGCCATCATCTATAATTTGTTATATCGACCTCTACACAACCTTCTTATCTTTCATCCCAACATCAACACCTCATATCAATTACCAACATCCCTTCTCGATCATCAACGCGTCGTCTATTTCCCAGACATCGAAGCCGATCACCGGAATTCATGGATGACACTGAGACTTCAAACCCGAGTCGGACCCGACAAACACAGTGGTATCACTTGAAAGTATCGAATGGACATCAAATATATGATTCTCCTTGCCCGCCGAACCAACGATAGTCTATGATCTCTTCTGAGCATCTCCAGATATCTCTATCAAATCTTCGTTACTCAACAAGTACGAATCCTAGCTGTTTTCATAGCAACAGATAGTGAGAATGAGATGAGATTTGGGGTGATATTTTCGCCATGTGGGTTGTATCTATCTAGAGGTTTGATACTAGTTCGTCGTTGTCCCCAACCAACTAGTAACTGCTGATTAATGAAGTACAGCAGGGAATTGGTAATATAGTAAATATTATACCTACCTACCTATCCAAGTGGTGAATCTCAAGGAAGTGAAACGGATTCCTCTTCCTCTCTTCCTCTCTTCCTACCAAAAAGATACAGTGGCTCAGCTCCTTCCTATCTTAAAAATTAAATTCCCTTTTTTTTATCAGCCATAGTACGAGGGGATGTCGAATACCGACCGGTATGTGGTGTATATCATCAGACCGACCCAGTCCAGTACGGATAGTTTGAAAATGGTACGAGATGCCTTTCGGAGTCTACTGGTTCTGCCATTGTCAGAAATATACTCGAGTAGAGATTATTTATTGTAAATATTGAGGTTGGGTCCTTGCTAGTGGAGGCTCTGGTAATGGAGCTTGATGATAGGGACGGTGCTGGGCGTATAGTTCATAGTATTACGTGTTGATGTATAAGGAAGGAGATATTTGTAGTTCGAAGTATAACCGGTTAATTTGTATGAGGCTACCAAATGGATCGAGATTCATTGTCCGAGTTCGTACTGGCACGGCAGCCCTGCTCAATGATAAGACGTCTAGGCTACGTCTTTGAGATAAAATTCCGTCTTTACATTTCTATGTCTGTGGGGTGGTGGTACTGTAAGTCCTATTGTTTGAGTTGACTCGGTCAATCCCGAAAGTATAGTTCAACATAAGTTTAAGTTCTCACAATCTCAACATTTTCCTATCATGGCCTGCCTCGAAGAGTCTATTGTTGAATACATACTGTTAGTTGTCAAGACATAGTCATCCTTACACTTATCTTCATTTCCACCATCGTTTGAGAAGTCCTGACTTACCAGTTACCATTGAAGTCTATCGGTCCTGTAATCTTAAATCTGAACATCCAAATGAATTGTTTTACACATGGACACAGCACAGCTAAGTTCTAGAGAGTTCTAGATTAACTACCGGTATGGAAAATGTTTCGAACAATGCGATGCGTACGCAATCGAACCAGCCAGAGTCCAGACTCCAGACCAACGGTAATATGATACGATATCCGCATCGTATCGTATCGTATCGTATCGTATCGTATTGTCTCATTTCCCCCCTGAGTTTACAGTACAGTTATCTCCTAAACATCAGACGGAATCCACGTGTTTATTCCCTACCGGCAATTGACCGACCCCAGATTACTGAACCCCTGGATTCTAGCATCATATCATGATCAGTACTCAGGTACTCCATATTGTTTTCATACTTTCGTGAACATTAATCTATTTCTAAAAGTACAAATATGTATCCCATCCTCCCACTCTCAATACCATTCATCACGATCACCGTTTTAAATCATCTGTTAATTCCATAATCTACCTCATCTACAACTACAAAATCTTCTTGTTATATATACCCATTATGCATTTCCTCACCACCATCATCAGGATCGCAGCATTTAGCTCCCTTGCAACCGCTACCCTCGACCCAGCCACTTCCAACACCAAAGGCTACTATCCCAAAAACCCATCCTGTAGCCGTACGTCCTCCCTCTCCCTCCTCTTTTATTCCCACCCCCTCCGCAACCAACTAACCCCCCATCCCCCCAATAGCAAGCAAAACCTCCACCGCAATCCAAGCCGCCGAATGCGCCTACAACACGCGCGTCTCCGGCACGCAAACCTTCGCCGTCTTCACCACAGACCACCAATACGACAGTTCACACGGGGCTCCCTACGGAACCTGTTCTGCCTACACCTGTACGGCGCCAACAAAAGCACAGTTGACGGCTGCGACGGATGATTGGGTGTTTTATTGGGGGAGTGAGGGGACTGCGTCGGGTGTGGGTACCCCTTGTATTAAGAGCCCGGTGGATGGGACGTGTGGGTGTGAGGATTCGGATGGGAAGTTTGTGCATGGGGGGAGTGCGTGTGTTTAGGTTTAGGTGCGGAGGGGAGGGGGGTTGCTGAGTAGAGATATTTGGCGGAGGAGATGAGGTAGAGGGGGGGTTGTGGTTGATTGGTTGTATATATTTGATTCATGCCGTGGTCATTAAATTTATTGCTGCTTATTCGATCGTTCATCTATCTCTCATCTTTTCATACATTATTTTTGACATAACATTATATACCGATACTCGAGTATACTCTCCCCGATCTCAAGGCCCAAAGAGAACATCAGATCATCAGATCAATGGACGGATGACTCACTCGAAGACTCCCCATTCGACAACCTTCTCATTCTCATCCGGCCCCACTTCCCATCACTTCCATGCTCATCACCACTTGATCAAATTACTCTTTCCTTCCCGCTGTCACGAAGTGCCAGTGGGGTTTAGTTCACGCATGAGGAAGCTTGGAAGAAAGAAAAGAAAAGAAAAGAATTGTGTTGCATGTCTGGGAAATGCTACCTTCTTTTTCTGGGTGTCTGGACTGAGTGGTGATTATGGGTTGAAAATTCTCAGCCAATAACTTGGCTAGCTGGCGTTCTCCTCTCCATATTAAATTATATCATATCATATCATATCTCAAGGCTGAGAAGAGATTTGAAAGGATTTCTGTTGCATGTCTGAAAAATGTCACCTTCTTTTTGAGTTTGGATTCTTTGGGTTAGTATGTGGATGAATTGTTGGGGGTGTGGTTTGTGAGTGGTTTGTTAGTGTTGGTTATGATGGAGATGACGATGGGGCGATGGGGATGATGATGATGATGATAGGTAGGAAGGTGGGGCTGGGCGCTTAGGTAAGATGATCTGATGCATCATATTTATCTGTGAGTGAAGTGAGGCTCTTAGAATGTCGTATATATTATGTTATGTATTGGGATGGAGTTGTGTGTGTCCTGGTGTGAGAATGATGGAGGTCGTGGTTGTGTTTTTGATTGGGCAATGAGATGGAATGTCAGGTGGAATTTATGTCACGGCTGCTTTCTACACCGCTAGTCGCTAGTCGAGGTGATGATGAATGATCCGGTGTTAACGAGAAGGAGTCAAGCTATATTATTTTGATAATCAATGGTCAATGTATAGTTGAATGATCGAAGTAATATTATTTATCTTTGTTTATTGCCATTTAGTTCAACAATTTTCTTTTTACTCTTTTATTCTCAGAACTTTCGTGAAAACCCGAGAGGATTACAAGTGCGACACAGCATAAACCTTCGGATAGTCTCCCTGATGATTACTAGGTATTCTTGTTCCTTGTTCCTTGTGTCGTTTATTTGACAGTTGACGAACTGCTTGCTTTAAATGTTAGGAAAGAAGGGGCTTGAGAGTTTATATAATAAGTTCTACATCTACATCTGCATCTGCAACTCGAAGTCTTGTGGGTTATTAGACCCGGAAGGATAGAAAAGGCAAGGAAGTGAATCATGTCCTGATACAAGAAAATCAGTGAATTCTAGAGCGGGTAAGCGAGGGTAAAAAGGAGAACTGAGAGTAGTGAATGTATAATCTCTAAATGAGACAGCGATGTAAGCAGGGCAACGAAATTATTAGACGATAGCAAAAATAAAGTCAATGATATTTTCGTGGCAAAACCAACGATGAGGATCTTTAAATGATGGCTTGGAAACTCAATACGTTTTGAATTCGTGAATGCAGTTGTGTCAAGTGAGAGATAGATTTTCAGTCTTATATCGAATCACAATTCCCGAAAAGAAACATGTCACAGTTGCGAACGGCTATTTTCGATCTTGCATTTCAGAGTCACAGCTCTGAGGGTTATATAGGATGGGTTCCAGTAATATGGCGACATACTATACTCAAATTATATATGAGAGTGTATCACATCCTGTGCTATAGATGGGGAGACCCAATGGAATTAGCGTAGACACGCGAAGTAAATCAGCGTTTGATGAGAACACTTTAACTCAATCAAAAGGGCTTAGTGAATAATTACATCCACGGTTTATCAGCTGGATTCAACTGGGAATTCATGCAGTAGTACTGAGGTCTAGGTATATAAAGGTTTACCAAAACTGACACTCTTGACCTGACAAAAGCTCTACTTTTCTTTACCCCTCACTGACAAAGGTGGTCATTTAATCTACATACATAGATATTGAATAGGAAAAGGCAGTATGCACTTATATGGTATACAATTCTCATTCTGTCTTCTTATAAGATGATTGCAAACATGGCTGCTACACTAAATTGGCAGCGAAAGGGGCATCTAGTAACAAATTATAATTTTCACTTCCAACAGGGATCTATTGGGCTATCTTTATGAATGAGATATAAGCTACTCACTATAGCTCAAAAATTGTCTCTTGTGAAAATGGTTGTTTGAAAGGAGGACCATCATTCGAGAATCGAGACTGCTTTTTAGTCCGTTTGATTTGGAAACGAAACTTGCAGAATTAAAGGATGCTTAAATAGATAGATCGGAGATTGCCTATCATAGAATACAGAAGAAGGGTGAATTATTTGACTATATAAGGGTAGTGAATAGATAACTTCCGGAGTGCATGATTCACGGACTTGGTGAATATGAATCATAACCCCTTGATTCAACACCAAGATACGAAGCATAAAAGACGCTCAACTGTTCAAAAATACATCTATGGAGTTATTCAACGAACCAAGAAATTGAGAGTACCATTCATGAATCAGCTGGCTCATAAAGGTGCTGGAGCTGCTGTCTAAAAACATTCTCAAATTGTCGTACATACTCCTAGTATATATCACTATACCGGAGTTTCCAGCTCTCCTCCAATCTTCGTCATCGAAATAAGAAACGGTATATACAATGTATTTCAAAGCATTTCTTGTCTATCAAACTCAAATTATCATCACTTATTATCATCGCCGTCGATCAATCAAGCGAGTTTGTAATGATTCCAAACTGAGTCCATGTTCATATGATATATTCAACAAGAATTTCGATCTTCCTTGGCGTACTTCGCAAAAGCTATATCCATCCATCTTGGTAAGGTTGAGAACTTCTCCCTGTAGTGGACAGAGAAACGAGATTTCGACTGACTTGATATAGTTCAGATGTATTTTTTTGGGGCGTATTCACTTTCTTTTCAAACTGTGTAGAGCACATCACATCGAGTTATACACCAATCTTTCACCAAGAAAATATGGTGCGTATCTTCCGAGTCATAGGCCCATTCCCATTTTCTGTCCCATTTTCTGTCCCATATTATATTACTTTCAACAGATGCACTATTTAAGGCTCGACGTCGGGAATCAGAGTTCACTAAGAGTAAATACTCGCGTCTCTCTCATCGATGTTAGGAGAGTAACGATTATGTGAGGCCTACAAGAGCGAGTAGATAATCCGCAGATAAAACAGAGTATCATCGAAATGAAAACCAAGAGGATTATGTGACAAGACGTCCTGCGAAGATGATACTTCGAGACTAGAGCATAGGAGTGGTTGTAATAGAAAATCGTACACAAATTACCGTAATCATCTCATTCCATAAAATTGCCGCTGTCACTGCTACTTTATTTCAGTTATTATTGTCAAATCTACCATCATCCAATACCACCATCTATAAATAAAACAATATCATCACTCGATAAATATACACCATTCCCCCCAAATACAGTTACAAATATTACCATATAGCTAGCCGTAGTATTTTCATAACATGGCACTACCATAACACCATCCACCCTTCGAACTCAAAGTCGCTAGCTAGCATTCATGGCGGGAGAAGTTTGGAATATACGATGAAAACTGACGCGATACGACAATTTCCAGTCCTAAATCGAGTATTTATATAGAATGGGAGGAGGGGAGGTTTTGCGTTTGTAGTAGTGTGCTTGGGAAGTAAGTGTATATACTCACTTAATCCCAACGAATGAAACGATGGACGCCACTCACCCCTTACTCGCCAATTCACCATGTGCTCCAGCCGAAAGCCTGTGAGCTCAAGTCCCCCGAATACTAACCATAAAAGGTAGCCTCGCACCCATTGTAAGTTAGCAGAAGCAGATCCAGAGACCCAGTTGAAATTCAATGCAGACCAATGTACTCTCGTACAAGGAATTGTTTTTATAGAAATAATATCTTAACAATAGGCTGTATAAGTATGAAATAAAGTAAACGCGCGAGTTAGATAAATATCAAAGATATCATTCATCACCTACCTATCTGATCTAGCACAAGACTTGATTGTCATTGTCATATTCCATTCCCCGATACTATTATTATTGTCGGTTCCCGCGGTACTCACCAGCACTCCTAGCACTTACTACTCGAATATAGCATAGCCACGTTATATCACTATCTTCTCTCCTGCACCTGTATCTATCTCTACATCTATATACCGTAGGTAACATAATATGAAACCGAATATCAAGTCTTCCCTCCCACAATATACGACACAGAAACAATTTTCGGCTTCCAAAAAGCAATCTTGAGGAGATATAGATTGATACAAATCTCCCTATTCGAGTACTACTCATAATATCCTCACGCCTTTCTTCATACCTACAAATCCAGAATACCACATCAAAATAAATAAATGACGGACATATAGCACAATCAAATCAGTCACGGTAAGCGCCCTGCCCCTATACTCTACTCTAGCTACCCAATTCATACTACTCGAGTACCGTATATCAAGGCAGTCTAGTCTATCCACTCACCCCAATCCTCCTTTCGTTCGTAATCATATTACCAGTCCTCCCTCAGCTACCAAGGGCACCTACACCTATACCTCACACCTCGCACCCCAGACCAACCCAACCCAGAAAATTCACAAAACGCTAACACACTACACAATCGCATCGCATCGCATCTAGAGTGTACGAGGACAGAAGAATCATTGTGTGCCCATTCATCCATTCATTCTACCAAGATAATCTATTTCAACTTTTGAGGAAACGGTACGAGTAGTAGAGTAGATTAGATAAATGGACTGGGTACAGTACAGATCACTGAATCTTGTAGAGTACCCCCGTCCCTTCTTTTACGAAATATACTCGAGTATAAGTATAGGAAATAGATATTCCACTGCCATTCCCTCCCTCTAGCAAACTTGCCAATACTTTCATCCACTCACCCATTCACTCACTCACTCACTCACTTACAGTCAATTCTTACACGAGTACAGCACTTGCTACATCCACATCCACATCCCCATCCCCATCCCCATCCACATCCACCCCCAAGAACCCTCATCACAGCTCATTCTCCTGTACTTTCTCCTATACTCGAGTATCCGACCAACTATAAGATCCACCACAACATAGCAAGTACCAGTACTGTATACATTTCTCCACTTCCCAGCCAGCTTCCTATTGCACTCCTTCAGTATAATTATAATCAAAATACGATAGTCTTTTCTACTTATCAGGACTCGAATGCAAACCAACAAGTAATTCCCTCGAATCTTCACACCCCCTCTCTGAGAGCACTTACTCCAAAAGATGAATATGTGTAAAAAAAAACCAGGGGAAAGATACGGACCTTGCCGATATCCAAGGTTGTAAGACACACACACTCTCTCTCCTCTTGCTATTAGCTATTGACTATTGACTATTGACTATTGGCTGTAGCACTTGCCACAGTATCTCGCTCCCTGGTATCTGGCCATACATATACATACCATACCACAAGACCCTTTCAACCTCAACTCCTTCTAACCGATTCTTCCCCATCCAAAACCACAACCCCAAACCACAACCTCTACACCACACCTTTCTACACACACTGACTCCTGGTTCCGGTTCCGATATCTTATAATTAAAGCCCAAACAAACATAAAAATCCCAAATCCCAAATCCCAAACCCCTTACCCCTTACCCGTACCCCTTTATCATGCCCCTTGTTCCCCTTCACCCCTTATCCCCTCCCTCCCTCCCTTCCCTATACCCTTCTTCGTGCTCCCGCGTCACCAACCTATTCCTCATAATCCATCTATCAAAACTGTCTACCTGAACCGGCATACTGACCGAAAACGTCCGTCCCCCAAGACAAGACAAGACAAGATCAGACAAGAATCCTCTTTCTTTTTCATGTATTTATTTATTTATATTTAATATTCATCCGTTATGGTTATCTATCTATCACCATGCCTTCTATATTATCCATCCATCCATCCATCCAAGCAAGCTCACTCACTCCGAACCCATCATCCATCCATCCAAGCGCCTGAACGTACATACGTAAACCCCTTTCTTTCGCTAACCTAATTGGCTATGTAGTTTGTAGTTCTCTGGTCCGGTTTCTAAAACCCATTCGATCGGCCTATATTTATCTATCCATATCCATATCTATCTCCTCCTCTCTGGGAAGTCTTCTAGGAATTCTTTTTTCTTGGTGCGTGTGACTTTCTGTTCAATATTCCTCGAATGTCTCTCTCCAAAGCATTTGATGGTCTCTTTCCAAAACCCATACCCATACCCATACCACTCAAGCACCCACCTCACCCCCCGCACTCGCTACTAACCTCCTCCTCCAATCCTCACAAACTTCTTCAAATCCCCCTACAACACCCCTACAAACCCCCGCACACTCCCGTTCACCCAATCTCCTATCCCAATCCCCGTTTTCTACCCACCTCTCCCCTTCTTCCCTGAGTTCCTCGTCCCTGCGCATTTCGGCTACTAATTCCTTTGCTGACTTCAATTTTCGACTTGCTGTTACGGTAGTTTGTCTAGACATGTGTAGGGTATCTGAGAGATATGTGATTGTATGTATGAGGTCTGTGGTTAGGGAATGTAGGGAGGTAATGGAGGCGAGGGATTGGGTAGTAGGTCGGGGGATGGATTCGTTGAGGAGGTCGAGGAGAGGGAGGAGGCTATCGATAAATTCTGTGGTTGGGGGTGCGGAGAGGGGTGAGAAAAGGGGGTGGGAGAGATTTTGGAGGAGTCGGGTTTGGTGGAGGAGGTGAGTTGATAGGGCGGTGTGTGTAGTTACTAGTCTGGTGTTTTATCAGTATAGAAACAAATAGGAAGTATTGGAAATCCTCAAAATGAAAGACAGAGATCTTCGAAGAAAAATGTAAACCAACCTAGTAGTATTCCCCTCCACTCCTGACTGACCCCCCAAATCCCTCAAACTCTCTATAACCCTCTGAACAACCCCATCAGCCTGACTCCCATTAGATTCCGTCCCCCTCCTCGCCAACCCCTCTACCATATCCATCCTCGCCAACAACGCTGGTGTAAACGCCGGACTCTCCAAATCCGACTCTCCCCCATAATCACTTCCATCATATTCACTCGGCGTCCTCGCATGACCCAACGCATGAACTCTCCCATGCCCCCCCACTGGCGGCGTCAAGTTCAGGAGATTCGAATTCGGCACTCCAGATTGTTTCTTTGGACTCGTTACATCCACACCACTATCCCTCACTGCATGGTTGTTTTCTTGTTCCTCTTCATTATCCGAACTCGAAGGTACCGTGTTTTGGAAATTAAGATCTCCTTCTTCCATATCTTCTTCGCCTTCTTCGTCTTCACTCCATGCATCTGCTAGTTCATCTGCGAGATTCCCAAGACCGTTTCCTCCGTTTTGCGAAGATCCTAAAACATCCATACCCATACTCATACCGACGCCGTCGACACTACTACTAAAGTCTCGACTCATATGATTTGGTGTAGTCGGTGTATGCATGGAAGATTTAGAAAGTCTGCGAGAATGGCTCACGGTTGAAGGTGAGAAATCGAGTGCGGAAGGTTGCCGACTATGGAGGGGAGTACGTGGTGATGAAGGCATCTTGACGATTGTTGAAGTATAGTCTGCCAGTTTGTCTGTCGTTCGTAGGGAGATTCTTGAACTGTAGGATCATATGCGGTGTATTAATATTGATTGTTCTGTTCGATATGCGGTATGTATCTCTTGTCGTCTTATGTAATATCCTTCTCCTATTCGATTTCCCAAAAACAAAGTAATTTGGATGCAATCTGAGTCAATATTCCTATTCCTGGAAATCCGCAATGATTTGTCGAGTGAAGTTTGAGTATGAATGACTCTGCGCACGAAAGTTAAATGATTATCAAAACACAACAATCTTTCTTTTCCCTTTCAAAATGTTGTCGACGTGGAAAACTAAAGACACAGGAACTCTGATAACCTTTTACCAGCAAACAATATGCAAGGTACCCTCACTATATGATCTTAAATCTCGCTTTTATTATCAAGTTGAACCAGCGCAGCAGCCATATGTTTACTGCGGACCGTGCAATATATTTGGCGAGGAGGAGTCCTGGAATCCTAATCCTTATCGCGGATGATATGATACTTGGCGACGAGGTTGATATTCATGGGTTGTGGTCGATGAAGTCGTTCTTTTCTCTTGTTGTATGATTTTGGACGGAGGTTAGAGTTGGATATACCCCTATGTAGATTATCCCAAGACCGAGCGTATATACAAGCAATTTCCTTGTAGCAGTTGAATTTCTGCCGTACCTGCAGAGTTACGGCTTTCGGTATCTGGTGATGGCGGTGACGCATGGCAATATATATTTTGGCTTTATCATTTCAACAATACTCGAGTTACAATCAGTGACACTTGAATTCCTCCACAACTCATAATACCTTCCCAATTCCTCGACAAGTAGTCCCATACCTTTAATCCACATAACATCCGAAATAACCTTCGTTCCTCAGCAAAAATGACAACACTCCGTCCCTTCTCCGCCCTCGACGTCCTAAAATTCAACCCCACCAATCTCGACCCCCTCACCGAAACCTACGACCTCAATTTCTACTTCTCCTATCTCGCCCGCTGGCCGCACTTCTTCACCGTCGCTCTCTCCCCCTCCTCCACCATAACCGGCTACATAATGGGCAAAACCGAGTCATCCTCGGAGTCACTCCTCCTCTCCAAATCCCCGCACTATCTCCCGTGGCACGCGCACATAACCGCTCTCACCGTATCGCCATCTGCTCGACGGTTAGGACTTGCCCGGACTTTGAGTCAGGTACTAGAGAAAGGGGGAGATGAATATGAAGCTTGGTTTGTGGATTTATTTGTGAGGAAGAGCAATTTCATTGCGCAGGAACTGTATAAGGGGTTAGGGTATAGTGTTTTTAGGACGGTGAAGGGCTATTATAATGATTTTGTGGGAGGAGAAGAGGCGGTTGAGGGAGAGGGGGAGGATGCGTATGATATGCGGAAACCGTTGAGTCGGGATAGGCATTTGAAACATGTTAGGGAGAATGGGGAGAGTTTTGAGGTTAGGGCGGAGGATGTTTGGTGAGGTAGGGGATCACGCATGATGATTGATAAGAATTGTTAGATGGAGAGAAGATTCAAGGGGCGAGGAAGGATATGTGGAAAGTTTGGAGGGGCAAGGCAGTTGAGATTTATTTCTCCTGCGGGCATTTCGCCAAATATCTGTGTGGGCACGAAAGGACCTCGATATTAGAAGAACCATACAGAACATGAGGTTGGGAGCTATGGTTACATTGATGAATGGGCGGTATGTAAATGCATGCTGAAGATAGAGCCGATTCATGATTATAGTAACCCTCTCGCGGTAATGAATATACCCCCGTCCATCACAATTTCACAGATGAGTATGATAAGTTTGTGAAGGATGAAAATATATACCGAATTTGAATGTCTAGTAATTATAGGCCGAAATGTTGAGTAAATAGCTAAATTAATACACAGAGACTATAATCATCCATCATTTTCTTCCCACCAGAAACAACCACCCTCTCAAAAGGTACCTCCCATTTTCACGCCCACCACCAAGAAACATTATTTTACAATTTTAAATAAACCGTTCCCTCCCCTACATCCTCATTCTTTTTTCTCCTTCCCCCCCAAAATAGAGTTAGGCATTTCTCTAATACCCCAAACCATAACTCAAACACTTTCCATCCCCACTAACTGCCTGATTGACGGCAAAACAATCAGCCTTCTGAGCCACACACTTTGTCAAAGCCGCCTGATACGTATCTCCACCCGAGACACTCTGAGCATACGTATCCACACAACTCTTATATTGTGTATCACAAGCATCTTGACAACCTTGTCCCACACTAGCACGTGAATATCCTAGAGAATCTTCGGAATTCTGGGATGTATAGAGTTTGAACGGAAGGCCGGAGGTAAATCCGGTGAGGAGATTGTTGCACGTGTAGTACGGGAGCGGGATACCGCCTACGGGACTCAGATATCCGTAACCCTTGGATGGGTTATCGGGTTGCGCGCAGATGTTGCTGCCAGTAGGGACTGGGACTATGGAACTAGTGGCTGAGGCGGTGGGTTTGGAAGTACTGGTTTGGAGAGTAGCTGGGCATTCGTAGATACTGGTTGAGACGCTGTAAGTGGGTGCTGTGTAGCCTGCGGCTGGGTGGCTGGATGTGAAGCCGGTGTTTGAGCATGCGGAGACCGTACAACTGGTCACGCAGTAAGAGGCGAGATCTTTGCACCAATTGGAGTATTCGAGACATTGTAGAGAAGCAGGGAAACCGGCTTCGAGGAAACATGATGTCAATTGGACCATACAAGTACTTTCAGCTATCGAGCAAGAGGGAAGATCAGTGAAGGGTGGGAGAGGCTGGGAACACCATTTGCCGACTTGGTATTCACAAGTTGGGGTTGGGCCAATAGTGGTGGTGGAAGTGCAAAGAGTGCCGGTAGTTTTGGTGATGGATGGAGAGAGAGTAGTGGAAGGCTTTGCAGATGACGAAGTCGATGGACCCGAAGAAATCGAAGATGACAACTTTGCAGTTGTTGATTGTGTAATCGATGAAGAGATCTGAGAAGCAGATGAAGCCGTTGATGACGAAGGTTTAGCAGTCGATGAAATCGATGGAACCACTGAGCTTGAAGGAACGGATGATGAAGATCTGGAAACCGATACGCCAGGAATCGATAAGGTAGGAATCGATACGCTAGTAACCGATAGAGTAGGAATCGAAACGCTAGGAACCGATAGAGTAGGAATCGAACCGCTAGAAATCGAAACGCTAGGAACCGATAAAGTAGGAACCGGAATCGAATAGCCCGGTGCAAAAGATGTCTGAGCAGCGGATGAAGCCGATGATGAAGATCTGGAAACCGATACACCAGGAATCGATAAGGTAGGAATAGATACGCTAGGAACCGATAGAGTAGGAATCGATACGCTAGGAATTGATAAGGTAGGAATCGATACGGTAGGAATTGATAAAGTAGGAATCGATACGCTAGGAACCGATAAAGTAGGAATCGAAACGCTAGGAATCGATACGCTAGGAATCGATACGCTAGGAATCGATACGGTAGGAACCGGAATCGAATAACCCGGTGCAGAAGATGTCTGAGCAGCGGATGAAGCTGTTGATGAAGATTTGGAAACCGATGAGCTCGAAGAGCCTGATGAGCTAGAGACCGCTGAGCTAGAAACCGCTGCGCTCGAAGAGACTGATGAGGTTGATGGAGCCGCTGAGCTCGAAGGTCCCGATGGAATCGAATAACCTGGTGCAGAAGATGTCTGGGCAGCGGATGAAGCCGATGATGAAGATCTGGAAGCCAAAGAGCTGGGAGCCGCTGAGCTAGAAGCCGCCGAGCTAGGAACTGATGAGCCAGAAACTGCTGAGCTCGAAGAAGCTGATGAGCTAGAACCCGTTGAGCTAGGAACTGATGCGGATGATGGAACCGCTGAGCTTGAAACCGATGAGCCAGAAACGGCTGAGCTCGAAGAAGCTGATGAGCTAGAAACCGCTGAGCTCGAAGGAACCGATGAGCTAGAAACTGATGCGGATGATGGCGCCGCTGAGCTTGAACCCACTGATGAGCTAGAACCCGCCGAGCTAGAAGCCGCTGCTGAAGAAGACACCGCAGAAGTAACCGAAACCGTCAACGATGAAGAAGAAGAAGAAGAAGAAGAAGAAGAAGAAGGTTGAGCCGACGAAGGTGCCGATCCAGAAGCCGAAGAGACCGTTGACTTAGCCGAAGCACTCGAAGAAGTTGAAGTCAGCTTTGTAGACGTCAGCGTACGAGACGGTGCTTTTGGCGAATAATATGGGCCAGTAGGAGCCACAGATGAGCCCGTATTAATCGACGATGACGAAGGAGTTGGATAGATCAAGCTGATAGAATTCAACGTTGAACAACTTGTCGAACAAGCTGTTGAATATGGGATTGTTGAAGTGCCTATTGGAGAAAGAGATTTCGAAGAGGACGATGATGATGATTTACCAGAATTACCACTGCAGGGACTAGTCGACATCAAGTCTTCCGCTACATATACGAAGAGATTGTCGGAACCACCACATAATTCGCTTTTATCTCCGTTACAAGGCATTTGACAATTGGACTCGTCAACCTTGGCAGTGTTATTACCAAGAACCACACCACAGTAGCATTCCTGTGAGTATTCCAGACCCGCGTAACCATAGCCGCCATCCTTACACGCATGCAGACAAGTTTCGATTGTCATGTCCGCACCGGGAATTTGGTCTTGTCTGAAGGCAAGAGTGCGACCGTTGGATCCAATGTCGGAGTAACATCCCATGGGTTGGTAATCTAGAACTGTGGCATCGTCCGTGGTGGGGAATGTGGGATCTTGGTAGATGGATAGACGGTAACTACCACCACAGAGTTGGTTCTTGTCTCCATTACAGGGAAAGGAACAGTCGGATTCATCTGCTTGGAGACCACCAACAGAGGCACCGCAATAGCATTCGCCATAGCTGTGAAAGAGGTCAGATATAGTTCTGTCAAGTAAGGAGGATTGACGATTTCTTGTCAGTTCGGTGTATGAAAAGAAGGCTTACTATTCTAATCCAGCATATTTGTAATTATTGCCTACAACGTGTCAGTCATCAGCCCGCTCGTCAGAGAATTTGAAACTCGGAATTGCATACCTTTGCAGAAATCAACACAAGTTTCAATTGTCATATCTTGACTGCTGAGACCAGAGTTAAATTTCAGAGCCCTTGGATTTCCATTGTCTGTGAAGCAACCTGCATAAGCAAAGGCCGTAGCATCTGCGCATGTTGGAAGTGCCGGTGCCCATCGCTCAGCTAAAATAGGAGTTATAGGACTGGCATTGGCTACCAAGAATAATGCAGAACTTGCCGCAGCAATCGAGAGTGAGTTGAAGCTCAACATTTCGATTGACGGTAGCTAGATTGATAGTCAAAAAGTAACTACTGATAAGCTCAGATAATTGAAATCAAAATTATGGGATGACCGTGGCTGAGTTCGCTTTGAGTATAATGAGAAGAAAATCTGGAAGATGGGCTGAGACAATATATACGTATTCCGAGATCAATAATCACCAAATTACCACCATCATCTCAATGAACACAACCTCCATCGGGACGAATTGGGAACCTTTGACGTCAGATAGTAACAGAAACTGGTTTGATTGTCTAGAATCACTTATGATGTATTTATGTTGATCCTATGTTGAGGATCATGCTGATCATAATGATCCAAAACATAATTAATTCATCTGTACCAGTGATATTTCGTCATGGGAGATACGTATATTTATAATCTATTTATGTCTCTTACTTGTACTCGTAGTTATATATACTATTAAACCGAATACAATTGAACTAACAAATCATCTCTTAATACAAGGAATATTTTATTGGATTATGATTTCCTCCAAGAATGAGTTTTATAATTATATAACCAGAAATAATTTTTAGTATAAAACTTTTATATCATTGGGGATTCAAGTTATATTCCGGGTCTCGGGTGTAGCCTCACTGGCAGGCTTCTTCCATGCCGAGAGATATCGGAAAGTGCTAAGAAGGTCTAAAGTGCGGCTCGAATCTCTGCCATGTTCTGGAGCAGAGTTAGTGCAAGTATAAATCGGGATTGACAGACTTACTTCGAGCTAACTGAGTTACCCGTAAAAATGTTCGTTAAAAGATGCTCCGGAAAAGTACTCCGCATTTTAGTCTATGAAAGTAGGTTTCCCCGGAAAGAAGTATCTGTGGCGTCATAGCATTTGATAGAAGCGCATAGAATCGCAGAATCACAATAGCCAATATAAATTGAAGTCGACGATATCGGCTCAAGATAACAAGAACGGACGGTTGATACGTCAGATATTTTTGAATAAATTTGTCTAAAGGAGGTGACTTTTGGGAGTTTAGCCGGTTAATGAAAAAGCTCATTTCCAGCAGGGGATACCGGCAGTAAAGAACACAACATTATTTGCAGATGCAATCGCATGGCGTCTGCATGGTAACTTAAAAATCGATACTTTTGTAAATCATAGATAGTATGGCCACAGAAACATCGAGACGGTAAGAAAATATCCGTTTATCCGAGTCGAATCCCGATCAATATGCACTTGCCCGGCTTTAAGCTAAGCCAAAGAAGTTTGCAGATATGTCTTCTAGCTATAAAATTCATATCCATCTCAGCAGGGTTATCGCGAATTATCACGGGTTCAAGCTATGGAAGATGTTGGGGCCGAAAGGCACGGTATAGTTTTCTTTCCGAATCAATTTGAAGAACATACTTGGACATATTACAGGTCTCAGTCACACTCTCGGAGATATAATCATTCTCAAGATATAATCGACAAAGAACGTCCATATGTCAGCTTGACACACAGATGTAAAATCCCTGAAGCTGTTATTGATCCTTTCTGGGAAATGTTGATATTGACTAGAGCCTCAAAGTAACAATATCTTTCCGAATTGATATATCTTGTCCCTTTTCATCCCTTTCTATGGTTACTGCATCCGTTTTGGTCGGGAACGCAAGCATCAGATGTCCGCCTTGAGATGAAAACGTTCTCTTGAATGTAATCTTATGATGCTCAAATCTTTCTAGACGCCTTGACTGCTTCACTTGGGACTATTGAAATAAAGCAAGCTTTGCGTATCTTTGTGCTGTTGAATAAAATGGTGGAAATTTGTATATTTTGTCCCTTCCTATGTATGCTACTGTGAACACAACAATAGCGAAAGATTGGTCAGTGGTCACTGAACTGACAGGTATTCTTCTCATTTAGAGGACAGTAATAGCACCTGATCGAATATCCATGTCATCTTCTACAGATAGGAGAACGAGTATTTAGCTTCAAGAGGCTGAACTTGGCCCCTAAGCAATAAGGGTATCATGTAACTTCGTTGAACCATGCATGAAAACTTCTCTACACGCGGGGTCTCATACTGGTGCTGCTGTACAACATAACATGTATTGCTACTGCAGTATCATGAACTTCGTATCTCCAGAGTTTTCATCCATTCTTGGACTCCCGTAAAATAGTTCTGGTTGTCAAGTGTAGGTTTTCTTATGCGGGTATTGTGCATCTGCATCTATTATGCGCGCCGTACACATCCACGAAAAGAAAGACTGAATTTCTTTGGATCGGGATCAAACTACAATTCCCCGAGGTTATCGTTTGGCCAGATTCTGTGGCGGGGTATAGACACTCGTATGTACTACTCCGTGTTGTTGACAGTGACCCTGAATCAAGAGCTCCTTTGACCCACGTTAGTTGATATCCAGTTGTTCGTGGAAATGAAGAACACAGGCAAAATCGTATAGACATAGTGTAATCTTTCGGTGATCATGGACATCAATTCCCATGAATTTGTACTTTCGGTCTTTGTGTTCTCCCATCTCGAGGTGCCAATAGAATATGATACTATATGTTGATCCTATTTCCACCCACCCATACACGTTCTTGTCCCCTTTCCCAGTAACTCGGGATATCGCGATCAAATTAAAATCACGTTAATAAATATCTTTTCTGGGGCTTTGGGAAGTACAAGATGCTTCAAGCCAACAGGAATGAACCCACTCACTGTAACCGGAATCGCGAGGGAAAAGCCTTGCCTTCCCTTGCTGGCAACCCGATGTTACATGACAGATGAATGTAACACCTTGAAGCAATATTCCGTACCTACCTACATAAGTATCAATAGACCATTTTATTTGTACTCATATGAATCGTAATGCGCACGATATCAATGAAGGAATACCAGGTAAGTGATGAGGATGGAAATAGTTGTTGAAGGGATGAATTCGATAAAATTAAAAAATGGGATTATTTTAGAACAAGATAAGGTTACATCGTGTCACGGTATCACAGTATCACAGTGAAAAAGGCCTGTGCCACAGCGGTTCGGTCAAACATCGCTGTCACTAAAATTTGTATTTATTCATTAACCTTAACAAACATCAACAACTACAATTTATCACTTTATACGAGTTCGTGATAGCCTCAATGGTCGCATGGTGATATATCTGTTACCGTGACTGATCCTTTCTCACATGAAATCTCAAATACCTCTTCTGATGAAAGACGTGCATCAATAAGGGCTTGCAAGTTGCATACAAGAGTAGGTTGGAAAGTTGCACAGGGAAGATCATTCATTTTACACCCATATATTGATGATGGAGAAAGATTCGGTGCCTATTTCTCAACCCCGTATGCAATTGAACAAACCTATCTCACACTTCACTTCACTACTACTGAGTAGAGATCGATAAATCAGCAATATGCACCCACTCTTGACATGCTTCGGCGTGTGTCATCTTTTGGATTAGTCACCGCAGTAAGCAACGACTGGATATGAAAGAGCTTGGTGTTGTAGTGTATGCTCACTTGAATAGGGAATATCTGGCCGACAGAGGTTTCGTTGTTAAAGACTCCTCATCTGCTATAAGTATCAGCTTTCCTTGCTATCGCCGTGCTTTTGCTCAATAACCCATTTGATCAGCGCTCAAAGCTCTACTCTCTATAGAAAATCATGCATCTCAGACCCGTGATCAGAGACGACCTGCCCTGTATCGCAGACATCGGAACTGAAGCATTTCGTGACGATAATTTACAAACGATATTTTTTCCTCCCAAGGCCGTTGAAAATGGCTCACTTCGTCGGAATATCATGCTGCGTATACGAAGACGCCTCGTTGAAACCGGCACCCATTGTTTTGTCTCGGTGAGCGATGAGAAGGATGAGTTTTGGTCTGGTAAACCTGAATTATTGGGGTATGCATTTTGGGTGCGGGTGGGTAAGAGCGAAGCAGCTATGAAGTGGCAAACCGATACTCTATCCTCAAGTATGACCTCTTGAAATCTTCATCTCATCATTCAACTAATCACAATATGTATAGAATTGGAAAGAACATTAATAGGAGCCGAGATGTGGTATTCCGAAGCTTTCATTGACCGCGACCGACCATGGGATAAGATCCATCATGTGAGAAACCTGACGATCGATAATTTTGGATCAATTCCAGAGTATCTGGAATTGGCTGCATTAGCAGTGAATCCAACATTTCATCGTCGTGGTGTTGGTGGAATGATGTTGAAATATGGAATTGATCTAGCTCAGATGGAGCAAGTCCCCATTGTTCTTGAGGCTTCTCCTGCAGGAACTCAATTGTATACGAAGTTTGGCTTCAGAGAAACAGGAAGGACTGAAATTTTCCCGGAAGTAATAGTAGTGGCTATGCAGTTGAATACAAAAGTTTGAAATTCTCTTGATTGAATGTTCAAACGGTATTGGAAATTTGTACTAGTGAGAAGATATTTTGGATGGCGTTCTATGAGGACAATTTGTATCCCTCATCGTATACTTGTGGGTGGATTGTCGGCTATTGAAGTTATTAACACGCGCGGCAGGTATGACTGTTCATAGTTCGTGGCTCTTGAAAGAACTCATTGATGGAAGGTCCGAATATGCAGTTTGTAGACTGTAAAATCTAGCTACAAATTATACTTTGAGGATTTGTTACACAGAGTTTTGTGAAGCATTTTTATGAGTACCACCGATAACTTCCATACTTTTGAATATTTTGGAATTTTAACTTCACAGGCAAGAGTTCCCAAGCAATGTCGCAAGCAACCCTTCCCTTCCACACTTCGAGTATATCAAATACATTTCTTTTTCCTCGTCTCATTTTCACAATTGTCCCTCTACCACCACTGACACAGATATCAAAATGTCTTCCTATATCAAAAAACACTGCAGGTCCATCAGTCGCCGTATTTCACAAGTAGGCCCTATGAAAGTACCTTCTGAGACGAAGTCATCATCCAAAATACCTCCTTCGGAGACTTCGACCGTGGAGACTCGGGATGATCACCAGTTCCAGAAGTCACCACAATCTCGCAAAGATCCTTCTCCTGAGAAAACATCTTCCAAATCACCCATTTTCCACATCGAAAAGGCAAACACAACACCCTCGGCTCCCTCAAAAGCCAAGAATCCTCAACATGAATCGATTTCTAGCTCCGAGGACGTAACCATTATCGATACTCCCATTGCAAACACATCATACACAACGCATTCACCCAACACCCTCCCCAACACCATCCCCAACACCCTCCTCACCACCACTACCACCAAAAGCAACAAAAACGGGCCCGACGAAAAATACCAAATAAACTCACACCTCCTCTTCGAACATTTCTTCCCAGGCCAAACCTACATCTCCGTGCATCTGCAACGCCTACAACATGGCCTATATTCCGATTCAAATATGCACACCAAACAGCCATTACACGTAACATTTGTTGCTCTCAGTTTTGTATTTCATGCCTCTACCCCTGCGCATCGATTTGAGTCTGCCGTTATTGAGATTAAGGTTACGGATAAAACTGGTACTAGAGAAAGAGAAGCAGAAGGTAAAGGAGGAGGAGAAGATACCTTGAGAATCTTAAAATATGCACCGCATCAAGCTTATGGAAGGATTAGCACCGAAAGCCTAAAATGGAATTTTCAGCTCGGGGCTAGTTTGGGAGTATCGCAGGGCCCAGCAAAAATATGTGTTAATCCTCGAGTATCAGAGGAGAAAAGTAGGGTTGTGGGGACTATGATGAAAATGTACGTTTGCATGCTCCTTCCATGCTCTGTTCTCTTTTGTCTCTTTACTCCGGGTTCTGCTTTTGGTGAAGATGAGATGAGTTGAGATGCTAATACGATATGATATGATAAAGACAAGGATCTACTCGCAGCACTTTTCACAAATCTACACGTTACCCCGATACTCTGCTCCATTTCTCGCTCGAGGAAAACTCGCAGCAGGAATCGGGTCTTCCGCGTGAATTTACATTTGTATTCCTAGTGGAGCGTCCGAGTAAAAAACAATATCCACCTATCCATACCGTGAACTTTCCGTCTATAGTGAAGACGATGGAACATCGGATTTCGGAGAAGTTGAGAGGGTTGAATGAAATGAGTGATGTGAAGAAAGATGAGGAGGAATGTATGAAATATACATCTGAAGATTTGGCGGGGGAACAGAAGACAGCTAGAGAAAGATTGGATGGGCCTTTGGAAGAGGTGTTCGGTGATGTTGAATTTGAGGTTTCTATTGAACCTAAGGGTTTGTTTATCCCTAGCTCCTTCTATACCTCCCCATCTCTCATTCCCCTTCTCACCCCTCCCCACCCTCTCTCCACCCTCTCCCTCCTCCCCACCCAACTTCACTAACCCCCCCCCCCTATCCTCTACATATAGTATCCAACACACTCCAACTCCCCACCATCACCAACACCCCCCACAGCGAACACACCGTCATAACATGCGAAGTCGGGCAAAAGTTCCCAACCGAAGGAACAGCCGATAGCGTTGGGAAAATGGAGCATCCGGATTCTATGGTGGGTGGACGGTATAATTTTGCGAAGCTGGGGGGTGCGTTTGAAGAGCAGGTGAGTTTGCCGGGGGAGTCGGTGGGGAGTCGCGTTCCTGATGTTTCTGATGTATGTGCGGGGGGAGGTGGAGGGGGAGGGGGAAATAAGGAAATGCTGATGTGATGGTGATGGGGGAGGGGAAAATGGAAGATGGAGAATGGAGGATTTGTAGTGAGATGAGATGGAGGTGCGAAATACATAGGAAGAGATTGCTTCGATGCATTTCTTTCACGTTTTATTGTGTAGTATAACTTATACTCAAACTCTTGAACTCTTAAACTCTCATCTTTTATTCTTTATTGTACTCGAGTAATATTGATCAATCAACCACCAATTCAATTAGTCATTCGAAATATGAAACTTGGTACTGAATGTTTAATCTGTATTTGAAGTTGGAACTCTGCATATATATATATATATTCCTCAGATAAAATGTATATTCTCTATTCTCTATTCCACGCCACTTATAAGGGAAGGGTCTATAGGTTTAATATACGATACTACGACCATGTTTGACACACTGCGAGTAGACTGTACGCTTAAGTTTCTCACTCTGTTATATAATTATATTAGATATGCAGCGAGCAATGCTGAAGTGGCACTTGTGTATTCGATATTGGAGTTTCTTCTCCTATTAAGCCATCAATAAATAAAAGAAAGGGAGACTTTGTTAGTATGATGTGAAATCTACCTCAATTCTGTAGAGAAGGACATGTAACGAATCCGTTCCTCTAACCAATTTGGCGGTAGGGAACTTCAATACGGTCTAGCTAAATAGCGATATTACTACTAAATCCACCTCAGCCCTATGAAGAAGATATACAACAAGCGGCAAGCCGGATTTATAGTCAAAAGTACGAAGCTACTCGTAGATAGTCCAGATACTACAAGTTTACTTCAGTTCTATGTAGATATTGAATGCAATATAAACAAATCCTCCAATCAATGGGGATAGAGGAACTGTTTAAAAATCCCAATGGCCGATGCCAGTCTTACTACTACCCCCCGAAACTAGCATTGAAAAAGATAAACTCTATCTGGGCCGGATGCAATCATCCACTTCGACCCTATCTCCAGGAGATATACAACAGGCGAGAAGTAGAAGTAGAAGTGGTTCTAGACTTATTCTCGTGCTCATGTAATGTAAGAGAGAGCTAGCTGACGCTTTAGAATTAATTCCAGGCTGGTTCTCATCTACTGAGAAATTAGAATGAGACGGTGTTTGAATTTCTACTCTATTTTTTGACTCTGGAGATTTTTTTAATTATATTGCAAGCCTGACTGACAATCCTTAATCCTCATATATATATGGATGGAGAATCACATAAATGTATGGAGTAAAATTAATCTCTCAATCCAGGAAAGGTTGTGAGACCCACGAGAACTAACTTCTGATTCTCTTTTCAACTTGCAACATTCTGGTGAATTCGACACTTGTGTGATTCTCTCCAAAGAAAAGCTCATGGAAAAGCAATGGTCTAGGTAGATTTTGCTCTTGATCAATACTTTGAACGAAGCAGATTCCTTCCTTAAGTACCGGTACTGAAGAAAGTTCTTAAAAACCCAATACAGGATGAAATAATTATCCCCAACTAGACAAACTATAAGGTATTACCTCAGATTGCTAGAAAGAAGAGTTCAAAAGATGTTGACCTCCGATGTACTGTGTACTGATGTCGTCGTCAAATTCTTTAGGTGTGGCTGGTGGGTATAAAATTGGAGCCACGTTGTGGCTCATTGAACCTCTCGGACTGGCACGGAAATAACTCGGGAAAATAATTTCGGAAACAGCATCGGAAGACCTCTCCAACCACGATTTATTATCCCCCCGATCTTGTCTTCCGAAATACCTCATGATTTAATTGATATAATGCGAGTACAGACATTACCGGTACTTCATTGAATCCAATCACCATCAATCGGGTTCACACCCGCAATGACATCGGATATTACCCCTTCATCGTCGGAACTGTATAATCTCAGGATCTCGGACCGCCACCAGATCGAATCCAGAATATTTGACATGGCATGGATAAATTCTAAACACCATCAATACCGGTAACACCATTGTTTTTCACCATGACAATTTCACTTGTCTACCTAGGTAGGTAGGTAATGGCGTTGGTAATGTTTAGTCAGGTAGGGGGTGAGAGCGGGTCATATGAGGACTGACGACTTGCCTCCATCTTTACCGTAAACAAATACTTATATGAACGACTCGGTACCATAAATACAGGAATAGTCCCCAGTATGCTTTTTAACATCTTGAATCTCATACATACATCTTGAAACATTTGCAACAACATGAGTATTTCTACCAATGACATAGCAGCTCGCTCTAGTACGACGCCATATTCCGTAATTGATGGTACGAAAGAAGCTATTCGAACTCTACGAGAATCGACCGGCAGTGAACTTCCATTGGAGATACTGAAACATTTAGAAGATGTTACTTTTACAACTGCAACCGATGGCACTCAAATATACTTCCCTTGTCCTTTTAAAGAAACTGAAGCCACAGTTGCATTAAAATCGATTGAAGCAAGTGTTGTTGCTGCCATTGCGGACCTTCGATATGGGGAACAGAAAAGAAAGATCGAAATCAACCTTGAGCAGACGGCTACTTTCCTATTCTCTACCTACATTGCTACAATTGCTGGCATGAATAAACAACATCCTGATGTCAAATCAAAGCTTAAAGGTATTATTTCTTGAATATGACATAAAATATCTATTAATCCATTATACAGACACAGATTTGCTCAAAGCACAAGCTATCTTGTATCGCAGACTTTCGGCCAACCTTTATGAGACCAAGAATCCTGGAGAATACTTTCACATCCATGGATCCTTGGAAGCCGGAAAGACATTGAATATGATTGGACTAGAAGCATATCGACCGGATCTTATAGAATATCGGGAATGTATTGATACAATTGAACAACACGTCAAGCAATACACGGCTGCAGAATTGGAGATTATGAATGCTGAGATAAATCAAGCTGGTGTAACGGCATTAAAATGGGAAGATTTCCAAAAAACAAAACATGTAAGCATATTAATCTGACCTATCCTATCCACAACTTACTGATTTTATTTCAGGGTCAAACACTTCTCAACCTACCTCCATGGCAACTTGATAGACTTCAAGACGAATCCCCACCAAGCACATTTCCCGATGTGGCTCCCGCAACGCCGACTTCAAAACCTCAAGTATTATCTGGTATTCGAGTCTTGGAACTGTGTCGAATCATTGCTGGACCCGCCATGGGCCGAACCCTCGCCGAATATGGTGCTCAAGTTATTAAAATTACATCTCCTAATCTTTCTGATGTTCCATTTTTTCAAGTTGATGGCAACACCGGTAAACATACTGCAGATATCGATCTTAAAACCCCCAGTGGTCGCGCTAGCTTTGAAGAGTTACTAAAATCTGCCGATGTCATTCTTGATGGGTATCGACCAGGGGCTCTGGAGCGATTAGGATACGGCCCCGAACAAATTGTGAAGTTGGTTGCAGGAAGAGGCAAAGGAATCGTTTATGTCTCCGAAGACTGTTTCGGTTACCAAGGTGAATGGGCCGGTAGACCCGGTTGGCAACAGATCGCCGATTGCGTTACTGGTGTAGCTTGGGCTCAAGGACAATTTATGGGTCTTGACGAACCAGTCGTCCCTCCATTCCCCATGTCCGATTATGGAACTGGGTGTATGGGCGCTATCGCTGCTCTAACTGGTTTATACAGAAGAGCCAAGGAGGGAGGGAGTTGGAGGGGCACGACGAGTTTGTGTCAATATGATGTGTTTTTGTTGGGATTGGGATTATATGGGGAAGACGTGAAAGCCAAGGTTAGGAAAGATCACGATGATCATTTCTTCGATCTAAAGCATGCAGATAGTGTGGATGAAGTAGGTGGAAGAGCGCTGAAAAGTATGCGCAGAGCTCATCCTGAGTTATTCGCAGAGAAAAATATGCAAAAGTCATATAGTAAAGGATTCAAAGAGGAGATACGATGGTGTAGAAGTCCCGTCACCATCGAAGGATTAAGAGTTGGATTCGAGCGATCCAGTCGTCCAAATGGATATGATGCGCCCACATGGGATAATTGGGAAATCGAAACGGAAGTTGTGGAAGGATGAAAATGAAGGTCTGGAAATGGAATTCATGGAATGAATGAAGCGAATACGACTTCTCTCGAGTGAGTGAGAAGATCTCGCTTGTGCTTGTCGTGTGTAAGATTAACCATGTTTTTTTCCCAAAGCAGTCATATATCATATACCGGTATCCCATTCAATATCGCAAACCCAAACCAAAACCCACCTTCATTTATTGCCTAAATGCACACACCGGAAAGGTGGGATGCGGGATTTTTTATTCATATTGCCTATATTATTGAAAATAACTTATAGTACAGTATAGTTCTACAAATCGTGCATTGATATCCAATGCACATACGAAATCTAGTTTATGTCAATATATCAATGATTATTGTAGGAGTTTTCGCGCCGCGAACCCTTCCGTTGTTATGTTCTAGCTCTATTCAATTTAGTCAATCAGTCAGTCAGTCAATTGATGCATCTATCTCCATGTAATTGCATGTATAGATGAGATGTAGATGTAGATCAAAGTACTTACATTAACATATTGATTCACCCCGTATCGTATCATATCATATCAAGTCACCCCTCTTCCCTCTCCTTTCTCCCCTCTTCCCTCTCCCCTCTCCATTCTTCCCTCAAACATCTAACTGCTTACTTACTTACTTGGCACAACTTATCACTTAATCTGCAACCAAGTTCCAGCCAACACCAACGCTAGTTAGTTACCAACGCTAATACACTTTATACAATTCATACATATTCATATATATTCACAGCTTTTGTTGCAAGTCTCAGATATGTAAAATGTTTGGAGCCGAGCATGAATGAGCATGAGCATCGCATGGCATGGCATGGTGGTAACTAAGTGGGTCCCGTCCCGGATTTGTACTGTGTTGTGTTGTGTTGTGATGTATTGTATGATTTGTGTTTAGCGTCGGGGAGTTATTGGATTGGATTGGATTGGTTTGGTTTGGTTTGGTTTGGTTTGCTTGTTGGTTGGTTGGTTGGTTGGTTGGTGGAGAGAGGCTGGAGAGAGGTTGGGTCTGGGATCATGAGTGAGGGAGGGAGGGATGAAAATAGATTAGTTTAGATTAGATTAGATCGGGTGGGTAAGTAGGTGGGTAGGTAAATAAGTGGGTAGGTAGGTAGGTAGGTAAAGTACTCAAGGTTCGGGGAGCTATGGTATGGTGAAGGTAGGGTGAAGGTGATGTGAAGGTGGATAGTGGATTGGTGGGAGGATTCAGGACTCAGGGGTGAGATGTGAGGGGTTGGTGAGAGAGAGGAGCTCAGGGAGGAGGATATATTGGTTTACTGGTTGGGGTTGTGGCTGGGACTTGGGACTTGGGACTTGGGACTTCCGACTTCGAGTGACCGATCGATGAAAGAATGGTACTTAGGGATATACTGTGTGAGAGATACTTCTTTGATATAACATGTATATGATATTTGTATGTATATGTATATCTTGGAGTCAAATCGGATATCAACCTCGATTGAGAGGGGTTCACTACGTGGGTTCTATCTTTGCTGATGCTGATATTTACTTGGCTTGAAATGGGATATATGATATCCTGGATATATCCTGTATATACTGTATATACTGTAGAATATAGAATGTCGATCCGAGTGGATGGGTAGGCTGGGTAGGTGCAGATGAATATCATGAATTATGATATGCAATATGTAATAGCATCACATCATATTACTTCCTCTCCTCCATTCATACGTGTGCTTCTTCTATGTTCTTATTCGCGTTCTTATTCTTTTCAAGCACTATCTACCAGTATCTATAAGTCTTCAAGCAAGTAAGCAGAAGTGACCACTCTCACGGTGACTCTCAGGCGAAAACTTCATGCTTATGCTCAGCAAAACCAGCCGATTCCGTATAGTATAGTGTGGGTAGGATTCTAAACATTCCCTGTGCGTGATATTACCAAATAAAGCATAGCATCCCCTCCCTCCAAACCCCTAAATGCAATTTATCATATATCATTGCGATTATTTCCTTAGACTGGATGGGATGTTTGCATTTGCAAATGTGTTTATGTGTTTATGTGTAGGGATGTAGGTATCGTTGGGATGGGATCTAGATAGTATATCATATCATATATGTTTGGAGGGCTTGAAGGGCTTGAAGGAAGGGGGGTGGGGTGGAGGGGAAAGGTTTAGAGGTTAAGGGGGTTAGGATTGGTTGTGTTTTCTGGTTTTGGATTTAGGTTTAGATTTGGATTTAGAGGGTTTCTACCTTTTAAATAGGAAGGATATCGCGGTATTGCGGTACTGTGTTATTGACTGTCTTGTGCGTGGTCGTGGTGTGGTCGAGGTAGGGATATCCATAATCTATAATCTATAATATATAATACAATTGAGATGCGCGAGTTTGTGTTGCAGTGTTGCAGCGTTGCAGTGTTGCGGTGTTGCAGTATAGTGTAGTAGATTGCTATTTCTTTGAAATCTTTGACGTCTTTATGGATATATAGGGAAAATCACACCCAGGTCTTGTTCACTGTGTTGTGTTACTAGAAGAGAGGGGG